GACTCCGGAGGTGCCGCCCTCTAGCGTATCCACCGAGATTCGTACCGTCGGATCTTCTTGGAAGATACTAAAGTCGAACCTCTCTGCGTAGTGTTGCTTGACTGCTTTGATAATAGACTGTTGTGAAGGAATTTCCCCAATACTGCTTGTTGGTATCTGATAGATGTCTCCGGACTTGAGCGCAAGCACAAAAATTTCATCTCCCTGTAACGTGCCAACAAACGACAACAAAAAAATTGATTCCATGTTCACATCACCTCGCATTCTGGTCATTGCTCCCTCATGGATATCCCTCGGGGACAGTTCTCTCTCTTCCTCTCCCTGTGATTCACCCATATCCGAGCCCTCCGATTCCAGTTGCCCATTGCTTTCCTCCTCTCCATCCAACGCTCCCTTGAAATCTCCACTCCTTTCTCTTCGGATTCCATCTCCCCTCGGGTGTCTCACCACCTGTTGTCTCTATCCTGCCCCCTCACTGCCTATCGCTCTTACCTGGATTCTCTTATCGCCACCGTTTCTCACCACCAACTCTCTAGAGGCAAATGGCTCCTGCCTATAACCACCTGATCCGGCTTGACCTTGTGGTATGAGGCCAGCATTCCCTACACCATAAGCGTACATGGCATGTGGGGGTAAGCCCATGCCTCCCCAGCCAATTGCCTGCCAATTGGGGTTTGCTCCCACGTTCCAAGTTCCCCCTCCTCCGGAGTGAGGGTAAGGATGCTCCCACATGCTCCCCATAATCTGGGTGTACATAGCCCGACTGAGCATAGGTAGGCATCCACCACGTTGGTGCTGGTGGAGGTACATGCATAGGTCCGAGTCCACCTCGTTGGGAAGGTCTTGATGACCATGCATCTGCCCGCTGTTTGTCGCTGCCTGCTGTTCTTCTCTAGGGCGTTGTTGAAGGTGTGTCGATGCACGTATTGAAGATTCGGCTACGGTCTGGAGCGGAATTTCTTGCGGAGGATTCCTCGTTGCTTCCCCAATGCCTCCCTGAATAGATGAGTCTACCTCCTGTCTATTGCAGTTGGAGAGATTGTCCGCTGGTAAAGCTCCTTCTCTTTGGTTCTCTTCTTGTCTTAACTTCAGGCATCTGTCTGTCGTTGTGCGGAACCACCACCGACATCTGTCACACCAGGGTGTATGTTTGCACACAAACTCTACGTTGACTGTTTCCCCATTGTCGTGTCGTAAGGGAAGAAAGGGGATGAAAGAGCCCTCCGCTTCCGGTACGATTGCAAACTTTAGGTTCATTAGTCTTGGTCTGGTTGCATCAGGTTTTGGAGGGATGACCTTCGTGATTTCCCCATCGCTTGACTCACCATGTTTGCAGCAGGCATCATTCCTCTGATCGGAACTCGCAGCACCATGACCCAAAACTTTGGCGCGTCGTCCAAGCGCCTTCTCTCCTCCAATTCGAGACGGGTCAACCATGGTTTGAAGAGCATCTTGTATGCGATTCTCTAACTGTGACACTCCCCTCACCCTTCTGCACCATCCAATCTGCTACCTCCCGTTGCATCGCTATGTAGGAAGTAATGTTTGCTCCCTCCGAATGTACCCTCCCGCGCTTGACCGCTCTTGAAAAGGTTCTAGCATGAGTCCAACCATTTTCATATGCTCGAATCAGGTCTTCTCTGACCTTAGCTGGAAGCGATCTTGCTTCCCCCTGGAAGATCACGGTTACTGTGCGCTCCTTCAACCATTTCGTGGTAAGTTCTCCCACCCGTTTGTCCACCACAAAAACTCGTTCGCCGTTTTCTTCGATGAAACTCCCCTGTCTCAACCCTTTCGGAAAAATACCCTCCTCGTAACACTTTTGAATTAACGTCCGCACTCTATCTTCCTCGGAAAGCGGTATCTCAGCTCCTCCTGGTGGAGAGCGATCTTCCCTACCTCTATTCGCCATGTTCTATGAATTACCTGTATTACCTTACATTCTCCTACCAACCCTCAAAGCTCTTCTAGGTGTATCTCGACTTCCCATCACCCAGGCGGACGCCAGAGGCGTACGCCCTTTTGCGACTGGCGCAACCAAACACACGTGCAACACCTTCACGACATTACGAGCAAAACTCTAAACGGGTTGTCCAGACAGTGACAATCTCCCTCACCCCTGGGAAGTTGCTCGGAAAACACCGAGCGAGACGTCACTCTCAGCACGGGAAACCATCATGGTGGTGGAATTCCCGTGAGGACGGTTCGGCCGCCATGGCCGATAGCGCGACTTAGAGCGCTAAACTGCGCCAACCGACGCACCCCCCTCCTTTTTTTTTTTTTTTTTTTTTCAGAGGATGAAAAACACAGCCTATAAAAACAACAACAACAACAACAACAACAACGGCCCAGGTTGTTGTAGAGGCTGGATTAGGGCATCGCCACACCACTGTAGAAATGTGCAAAATGAGAATGAACTTCCCACTGGAACATGGCCAGATGCCCCCGCAAAATTTTTGTCCTTTTCACATTTCGAGACAGTCACTGGTGTGGCGGGGCCCTTACACTCTCGAAAGGGTGATGGTGTTGGACAAAGGATGAAAAACGACAGTCGTACAACTTTGTTTTTTTCCAATGGCGTCAGGATAACGGCCTGACAACTACTCTTGAAAAAAGAGTCCCTTGAGCGTTCGGCCAAGGACGTTTGAAAACGCACATCACTCTAGAATGTGAAATCAACAAAACTATGGCGGGTGCATCTGGCCATGTTCTAGCGGGCAAGTTCATTCTCATTTTGGACATTTCGAGAGTGGTGTGGCTGCAGTACTCTCGACATGCACAAAAGACAAAAATCATGGCGGCGTATCTTTCCATATTCTAGAGGAAGATTCACTCTCGTTTTGCACATTTCGAGAGTACTAGTGCAGCGAGGCCCGATGCCCTGTGTGGCCACGCAACAACTCTTGAAAAAATGAGTTTTCGGGCCTCGCTGCACTACTCTAGACTCTCGAAATATTTCGAGAGTTCGACTAGCGTTGTCAGAGAGGCGAGACTCTTGAAATACCCGCCTTCGCTGCACTTACTCTGTAACCTATTACACTAGGTGAACTCTCGAAACCCTGGACGTCGTCCTACTCTACAGAAGAGCTTCACCACTGCGCTACAGGACAAAGTCTGGCCGCCGGGACAGGAGGTCCACTCTCGAAAAACGAGCCTATCGGCGGGCAACTCCCGAGGACACCTGAAAATTCTGTTGTTGCAGGCGGGGGACTCTCGAGTTGCGTGATAGTGTGGCTTCTGACAGCTCTCGATTGGGTTTCAAGAGTTTCTCGATCGAGAGTAAGGGGCTCGCCACACCTATCCCCAAAACTCGTTTTTTTTGAGAGCGCTCTCCAACGCGGAAGTTGGCGAAAATCCCTTCCGGAGGCGTCCTCGCCACACTGTACTCTCCAATGAATTTTTGGAGAGTGCTCTCCAACGCAGAAGTTGGCAAAAATCCCTTTGGGAGGCGTCGTCGCCACACTGCACTCTCCAAGGTAGAGCGAAATCTTGCACGCACAAGACCGGGATGGTCGACTGTGTACATTACGCGACGGGGCTGGCGTGGTCCCAAGGCTCCTACTCTAACCGCACATGACAAATTGCAGGCTGCAGACACTTCACTTGTCGGTTGAGGCACACTCGCGAGTTTCGGGTGGGTTTGGGTTGTCCTGCGGAGCGCTCTCCAAACGAGAGCGTGTGCAGGCGGGCGGAGGGTCGAATTTGGAGAACGCTCTCCAAACCCGCCTTCTGACAGCTCTCCAAAAAAAAATTGACGACCACTTTCGGGAGTGGGTGTGGCAGTGATCCCGCTCTCCAAAACCCCGTTTTCGGGATAGCTGTGGCAGGCCCCTAAGTGCAGCGATGACCCACTCTCGAAAATTCGAGAGTCTAAAGTAGTGCAGCGAGGCCCTTCAAGAGTGGTGCGGCGAGGCCCTCATTGAGGGCATAGGGCATCGCCACACCACTTTCCGGAATGTGCAAGACGAGAATGAACGTCCTGCTACAACATGGCCAGATGCGCCCACCACATTTTTGGTTTTTGTTTTTTTCACCTTTTTTTTCTTTTTCTTTTTAAACATTTTTTTCACCTTTCGAGAGTGGTGCGGCGAGGCCCATATATACTCACACCGCCCTCGTGCACGGTCATCATAGCTGTACTTATGGGTCCACTAACAGTCTGGACCGCGCGGACGTTTCTACCGATACGCTGGACGTAACTGCGTCCAGATTCATCCATACTTGACGGTAATTGCAGTCAGATGCACTACCGGTAGTGCTAACGGTAGAGCGCCACATCGGCTGGCCGACGGTCCTTTTACGCGCCAAGACAGCGTCCACGCTGGACAGACCGCTTTTTTTTTTTTTTTTTTCCCGGCGTCGGATTCGTACCGGGGGCCTCTCTCCATTTTTTCTATTTTATTATTATTATTATTATTTTTTGGCCTCTTCCAATAGCAGCGTTGAGTTTCCTCAAATCACGAATCTGGACGTGTTTTCTTTTTCTTTTGTGGATATTTGCCGTCGAGGAAACTCGTCGGATTTTCTGCTCATATCCACAAACACGTCCAGATTCAGGCGCTGAGGAAACTCAACGCTGCTCGTGGGACGAGGCCCCTGGAAAGCTACACGCGCACGCATAGCAGTAGCGGCTTCAATACTTACCCAAAAAACTGTGTAAAACAGTGAATGTATCTTCAGCTACATCGTGGCACGATTCGCCCGCCATAGATCTTGTCTCTGTCACATTTGCTGAGTGGTTCGGTGGGATGGGACGCTGGGTCACTACCTAAGTACCTAAGCCTGTTCGCACTCTAAGTAATCATCGAGAGAGTCGCAGCGTGTCGGGATTGGGATTGGGATTTGGATTTGTATTTGGATTGCGCGGGGCGTAGAGAACGGCAGGGGAGGGGTGGTGAGGAGGGGTGAGGAGGAGAAGTGAGGAGATGTGAGGAGGAGGAGGAGAGTTGAGGAGGAGAGGTGAGATCGTCAGCCAGGGCGGGTGTCAATCATCACAGCCATCGCTCCGCTCCGCTTCATTCCGCTTCCTTCCGCTTCGCTCCGCTCCGCTCGAGCATCTCACGACAGTTGACAGCTTCATCGCTGCTGCGTTTTGGAAATTTGCCGCCGTTTGCTGAGAGAATTGCACGCGTTATTTTGGCGCCATTGCGCGGCCCCCCCGCCCCCACCGCGCCCCTCTCAGTTTCATCGCACTCAAGCCATCTCTCTTCGCTTCGCTCCGCTCCGCTCGAGCACGTCCGAAAACAGCTGAGGAGAGGATCATCACTCCCTCCTCCCTCTTCTCGGAAATTGCCGTCTGTTTCTTGTCGTTTTGTGAGAGAATTGCACGTGCTCTGCTCTGCCATTTCGCCCGCCCCCCCCCCCCCCCCCCCCCCCCCCCCCCCCCCCCCCCCCCCCCCCCCCCCCCCCCCCCCCCCCCCCCCTTTTTTTTTTTTTTTTTTCCCCCCCCTTTTTTTTTTTTTCCCCGCCACTATTCGGAATTTCCCGCCACCATTTGGAATTTCCCGCCAGTATTTGGAATTTCCCGCCGCTCGAGGTGTGTTTGATCGTCTCTCTCTTTTACGATCTCCTCCTCCTCCTCTCCTGTGCTTCTGTGGTAATTGATCTCATCTCGGAGCGGATTCACGCGGTAATTACTAATTACCAGGTAGGTAGTTTCTTTGTCCGATCTTCACCGATCTTCATGCTCTCTCGCTCATCTTCTGCCCGTCTTACCTCGTCGGAACCAAGGGTTCTCCCCCTCTTCTTCCTCTCCCCCTCTCCTCCTCCTTTTCCTACTGTACATCCCTTTCCTTCTCCTCCTCCTCCACTTCGTCCTCTCTTTCCTCCTCTCCCTCTTCCTCCCTCTTCCTCCTCCCCCTTTCCTCCACTCCCTCTTCCGCCCTTTCCTCCGCCTCCTCCTCCTCCTCCTCCTCCGTCTTTCCGTGGCCTTTCGTCCTTTGCTTCCGTTGCCGCCTTCCTGCCTTCCTTCCGTCCTTTCATCCTCCTTGTCCACCCTTCTCTTCCTCCTCTTTACCTCCTCCTCCATTCCTTGTTCCCCCAACTTACCCTCCCCTCCCCTCTTCCGCGGTCATCTTTGCTGTTCTGCCTCCTCTTCATCTCCCTCCTCCTCCTCCTCCTCCTCCTCCTCCTCCTCCTCCTCCTCATCTTCCTTCTCCTTCTCCTCCTCCTCGTCTTCCTTCTCCTCCTCCTCCTCATCTTCATCTCCCTTCTCCTCCTTCTCCTCCTCCTCCTCAGCTTCCTTCTCCTTCTCCTCCTCCTCATCTTCCTTCTCCTCCTCCTCATCTTCCTTCTCCTCCTCTTCGTCTTCCTTCTCCTCCTCCTNCTCCTCCTCCTCCTCCTCCTCCTCCTTTTCTTCCTCCTCCTCCTCCTCCTCCTCCTTTTCTTCCTCCTCCTTCTACTACTACAATTACCAGAAGTATTATTAATTACTATGAAGTACTACTCACTCAACTGCTACTAGAACTGCTACAGGTAGTACTACCGTCTTCTCCCGAACATAACGCACCCTGATAATGCATGTATGGAAGCGATCTTTCCGATCCGGTACAGTCGTAATGAGGGTGCGTTGTGTTCGGGGGAAGACGGCACGGTGAACTGTTTCTAGTCATACTACTAGATAGAATAGTCCGTACTGCCGTTAGGAACCGTACTGCTCACTCTCCTCCCCCCCTCCCCCTAGATGACCCCCCCATTACCCAAAAGAATCTTCCTGTTCCTCTCCCTCCGTATTCTCTCAGTGGTTCCTTCGTGCCTGCTCGTTTAGCTAAATGCCTTTTCAAGCTGTGTAGGGACTGCCAGGTCTCGACTATCGTCTTCATTCGATGAATAGAAGGCCCGCCAACGGCCAGTATCGCCGCATCTGGACTGAAAGTTGTGCTGAATACAGATGTAACGACTGGGCGTTCTATTCGGATGAAGATGGTGTATTCGGTGAAAGGCTTCCTATCCACTCGCAACCGTCGAGTGATTCTAGAATCGGTGGCAGATCGCTGAAGTCGAGGAGGGCTAATTATAGTCTCACATGAAGGAGATATGTCCAAACTTCCCTCCAAAGTGTACTCAATTGTTTTTTTGCCCCCTTACGTCCTTATTGGTCTCTCAATGTGTCGATAAGAAAATCTCATTGTGTTGCGTTCTTTCTCCTCCTCCTCCTCCTCCTCCTCCTCCTCCTCGTTCTCCACCCATTTTATCTTCGTTATCGTGTCCCTCCTCTCGATTGCTGTCGTACTTCTGTCCCTACTCTTCTCATCGCAGTGGTCTCCGTTGTCATACAATTTGCCTCCTCCTCCTCCTCCTGCTCCTCTTCCTCCTCTTCCTCCTCTTCCTCCTCTTCCTCTTCTTCCGGCTCTTCTTCCTCCTTGTTCCTTCCTCCTCCTCGCTCTCTTGTCCTTCTGATCGCCTTCTTGCTCCAGCCCCTCCCTTTCATTTCCTCTTACCCCTCTTGTTGCTCCTTTGTCTCCTCTCTTTCTTTCTTCTCTCTCTCCTCGTGCTTCTCTTTATCGTGCTGCTCCAATTTTTATGTTCTCTTCCTTCTTCTCCCTTTTCCCTCTCCTGCCCCGGCTCCCTTCCTCTCTCTCTCTCTCTCTCTCTCTCTCTCTCTCTCTCTCTCTCTCTCTCTCTCTCTCTCTCTCTCTGTGTCTCTTCTCGTGCTTCTATTTATCGTGCTGCTCCAATTTTTATGTTCTCTTCCTTCTTCTCCCTTTTCCCTCTCCTGCCCCGGCTCCCTTCCTCTCTCTCTCTCTCTCTCTCT